TGCTCTGAAAGTTAGAGTAGTGCTCCTTAGGAATTAATATGCATGTGAATCATCTGGGAACGTTGTAAAGATGCAGATTCTGATTTAGTACAGGCGGGGTGAGATCTGAACTTCTGCATGTCTTTTTTTTTTTTTAAGGTTTTATTTATTTGAGAGAGAGCATGAGCAGGTGGGAGGGGCAGAGGGAGAGGGAGAAGTAGGCTCCCCGCTGAGCAGGGAGCCTGACTCTGGGGCTCCTTCCCAGGACCCTGGGATCATGACCTGAGCCTAAGGTAGGCACTTAACCAACTGAATTACTAAATTCTGCATTTCTAATAAACTCCCAGGTGACGCTGATGGATGTTACTCCACTGATCCTAGGACTTTTGAGTAGTAAAGCTTTGGAGGATATAAGCGATAAAAATGAAACTGAAAAAAAAAAGAGGATAGTAGGAAGGGAAAAATGAAGGGGGGGAAATCGGAGGGGGAGACGAACCATGAGAGACTATGGACTCTGAGAAACAAACTGAGGGTTCTAGAGGGGAGGGGCGTGGGGGGATGGGTTAGCCCGGTGATGGGTATTAAACAGGGCACGTACTGCATGGAGCACTGGGTGTTATACGCAAACAATGAATCATGGAACACTACATCAAAAACTAATGATGTAATGTATGGTGATTAACATAACATAATAAAATAAAATTTAAAAAAATGAAACTGGAGTCTGTATGGCTGGGAGAATGGTTAGCCATAGAAATATCAAGGAGTATGGGGAGAGAACAGATAAATTTGATTAAGGATTGAAGTTTGAGGGGCTGATGAGATCTATCTGCAAATACTTGTGTAAGAGAGATTGGGATTTGGGCGCTTGATATTTAGACTTGCCAGCCTGTAAAGACATGATGTTTGGTTAGTAAATGAGAATGGAATATAGAAAGTTATCTGTAGGTAGAAATTTGTGGAATATTTACTCCTTTTAAAGTAAAAGTCAAGCAAGAAGGAGCCAAAACTGTTACTGTAGTGTTTCTCACAATGTTAGAAGAAGGGAAAGAATAAAAACTAAGGACTAATAAGTTAACACCAAAACTGGATAAAATCTTAATATTTCTTTTAGACTTCAGGATTTTAGGATTTAATTTCAAGGGATTATAGCAACTTCCAAAAAAGGGCAATAAAAGAAATAAAATTATACATGTGTTTGTTTCAAATGAACTCGTAAGTGAAACCCAATTGCTAGGTAACCTAACAAGCAAAATGCCTATTTCCCACTCTCCATACCAAAAACACAAAAACATTTTAGAAAGAGGGACAGGAAAATGATTCACCGATAAAACTGTGTCTTGAATTTACAATTTTAAGGAAAAAGGTATGATGTAGTTTGTTTATAAAAGTTTAGCTAATGAATTCACAAGCAGATGCTTCACGTCAAAGCTGCCATTTTCAGCATAATATGTATAAATGAGAATGGTTTTGACATATTATCAATATTGTAGTCTTATCAGAAGCAACATACTAGAATGCATTTGTCTAAAATGGCATTGCCTCTTAATACGATTTTGTTAAATCGTAACACGTCAGGACTTTTACAGGTCCAAACTTAGAGATGGGCTAAGAAGTTATTTGATGAAAGCACTTGACAGATAAAACCATTGAATTTTGTTCTGCTGACATTATGACCAGGCAATGGGCATTGGACAAATTAAGATAAACCTTTTTCTAAAGGCATATTCAAAGGAGACCATTTTGCCCATATCACTGACGTTACCTGATTTCTTCCAGTTGACTGGATCATGCCCAGGTCCATTTATACAATAATGGTCACTGTTTAAATTGTATTTTACAAGGTTAGTGATTATTGTGTTTACATAGAAACTCGGGTAGTTACCTGGATAATATGGCTGTTATGATAATAAAAGATCCAAATTACTTCTTTGATGACAGAATAGAGGATTTTGGTATAATATGAATGAGGTCATTGGTTCATTCTCCTACTTTGGCTTTATTCAGTACCAGGGCCGGTCTACCCTATAGGCCGGCTGTCTCACAAACAGAAGTCATTTCCTCAAAGGGCTACCAGTCAGATTCAGAGGCACAGAAAAGGCCTGCTCTCCAAAATAAAACTCCCCATTCACTGGTCAGCATCTACTGTCTTCCTTTTACTGAAGGCGTTGAACCTTGAGAACCTCTTTTCCAAAATCAAACAATAAAAACAAGTGGAAAGTTCTATGAGAGGACAAGGATGGACCAGCTGTTTTGCTATAGTGGGTCAAGAAAGATATGACAGAGGTGAACTTTTGATTAGGTCTTGAGAGCTAGTAGAGGTAAGGTTGGGGAAAAGCGTGCCAGTTGTGGGATTTGGGGCACCCTACTTCTGTGTCCTACCTGCTACATGGGGTACAGGTAGCAGAAGGGTAGAGGTTGGAACCTTTCAGCACAGACAAGGTTAGAAAGATACCTGTTAAAAAAGACTTAAGACTTCTGGTTCACCAGACAATAGTCAAGACCTGCAGTTCAAGTATTGGATTCAACACATACTTATTGGGTACTTTAAGGGCTAGACATGGCCAGTGATTTTTAGCCTTACCAAAACTTATAATCAAAACGCTGAAGTGGTTTTGTCTGTCACAAATATTGTATTATTCTTTTCATTATTATTATTAATTTTATTATGTTCAGTTAGCCAATTCTTTTCATTTTGAGAAAAAAAATTTAAATATTTCTCCACTATTTTCTAAATTCACTGCCCACTTTTTTACCTGAAGTCCATCTCTATTTATGATTACATTTAAACAATTTGGAAATGGAAAATGTGATGACCATTTTATAAAAAAAGGAAAACTGCATATAAGGCTAATTTAAAAAAAAAAGAGGTGAGTTATTGTGCAACGCTAAATTAATTTTTAGAATTTCATTATAAAGATACATTGGACCATGGTTAAGGACTGAATATGTATCTTCCCCAAATTCATATGTTGAAACCCTCACCACCAATATGAGGGTATTTGGAGGTGGGGTTTTGGGGAAGCATGATGGGATTGGTGTCCTTATAAGATGAAGAGACTAAAGTTCTCTCTGCTGTATGAAGATGCAGCAAGAAGGCAGTTTTGCAAGCCGCAAAGAGGGTCCTCACCAATAACTGAATCTACCCTCACCTTCTTTTTGGACTTCTCCACATCCACAACTGAGAAATAAGTGTCTGTTTAAGCTGCCCAGTCTACAGAATTTTGTTATAGCAGCCCGAGCTAAGACAACCACCAATTAATAAAAAGTACCCTTTTATTGAGAGGTAAGACAAGTGTATTTACAATATTCAATTGTTAGATCATATAATCTGACTGTGAGACTTTTTAAAGCAGCAGTATTCCAGAAATTACAATTTATAAGGGGAAAAGAAAAACATTGCAAGTATGTTTCTGTTACAGAAAATACATTTGAACAATGCCAGGTACACTTAAGGCTAAGTAGTATTAGACCTTTTTCTCCACCTTTATAGCAATAATCAAAGTACATTTTTGTCACAAAGACAGAAGGCTAATTTTGGAAAGAAACAATATAATGTACAGTGCTTTCTGTCAGAAGACTAATATGTTTAAAAATACCTCATCAGTGGTTCTGAGAAGAAATATACAATGCTGCCAAGCAGTCCCAAACTCACATTTGAAATTAACTGTGGACTCTTTGAAAACTGAAAACTGCTCCAGCCTCTCAATCTTATGAAGGACTGGGAGATTATCAAATCCTTTACACAACTTCTAATAACGCTTCTGAAGTAAGATTTTGAAAAAGAGATCTGTTACAGTGCAAAGAACATTTTGATAGAAATTCATGTCTACAAAGGAGTTAAATAATACAGATGTTCCTTACATTAACAGATACAGTTCTTGTTCTAAAAAGATAGAATTATCTAGCCACTGAAAATAATATGGATCAGTCAAAAATATGTATAAGAGTCCTACAGGGCAACTTGTATAAGTCGATCCCCAAAATATGTATATATTTGACACTCTCCAAATGAGGATATTACTTTTTTGAAGAACATTAGACACAACACTAGGTCTCTTATTATTCCATGAACTATTGAGGTAGGAGTCTCATTTTGTCAATATCATCTAGTTTCACAGATTATGTCATAAGTCAAATGCCAGTACCAAAAGACAGTAATCCACAAGACTGAACCATTAAACTATATACCAAGTCTTTCCTTCTTTAGACAAGCAAGGATGGGAGTTCTCTGTGCATTGAGATTTAACTAAAAATAATATAAGCTGTGATATAGTTTGTAGACATGTTTGTAAATAAAAATCACAAATTTCAGTTATGATTTTGTGCATTAAAAAGCTCTGCAACTGTTGTAAAAAAAGTAAACAGTGCAATCATTAGTGGTAAAACAAATAGTACTACGGCTGTTGAAATGTGTTCTTACCTCTACCAAAAAAGCTGCCACCTTGGAAAACTACTAATGAAGAAATGGCCACTGTTTCTTTCTGCCAGTCAAGCATCAATGGTAGAAAAAAACAACATAATTTTTAGTGTCATGTTTTTAAGAAACTATAGCCCATTTAATTACAGTAAACTACCTTTAGCATGTGAATTCAGATATTTTCTCTATGAACTCAAGACGAAGAGTGATCTTATGAAGCGTTCATCATGCATATTGATTTTTATGTTAGGAAAAAGCTAAAAATAAAGGAAAACTCAGCTTTACATGAAAAGCCCTTAACAAATATAAGTTTAACCTTTTAACATGTTACATTTCAAACATTATCAATAGTTATTTAATTTATGAAAAGCAAAATGATAAAATCACTACTAAAATTAAAAAAAAAAAAGAAAAACTACACCATGACAGAAAAATCCATTTGGTTTGCATCGTTTGGTATCTTAAATAAAAGACTATTCAGTGAAACAAGGCATGTAACAGACTACTTCATGGTTTTTGTTAGATGCTTACATATAACAAAGGATACAGATAATTAGGTCAGATTCTCAAGAAGTATGAGTAGTTCCATAGTGTTTAGTTATAAAGAATGACCTTTGCATATTCTGACAGTGAATATCTAGTTCAGATTTTCATCTGGCTTTAAAATATTAAGAATCAGAAGAACCACAAATGTTTTATTTTAACCATATGTTTACAAAAAAAATGTGATTCATACATCAAAACTGGGTTTTCCTTGGTTTTAATACATTAAATGACATAATCCAATCTAACTCAGGCATCACTTTCAGACACACAGTGCAACTGGAAATACTTTTGCCATTCCAGTGGATATTTCTAAAAAACAAATACCTACAGGTGCTCTTGCGCCTTCAAAATAAGAAGAAAAGAAACAGGCCCCACAGTTCTCCAAGGATGGCTGTGTTTTGCACATTGTGGATAAACAATAAAAATCGCCTTCAAGAGTTTCAGTAAGTATTGTAACATAGATTCATCTCCTTTAGTTTGCTTGCTGACTTCTTAGATCACTTGATTAGAAGCCTGTTCTCATTGCCTCTTTGTTAACTGCTATTGGTACTTTGTAGACTATACGTTTTAAACTTCTGTAAAGAACATTACAAGCTATTTCATGTAATTTAATTTTGTGCTGAATATTCTTCAAAGGATTTTATAAATAATACAATATTTTAAATGAGTCTTCAATTCACTTGTTGTTATACCATATTGTTGCTTTCTCCAACTTTATCTACAAACTGCAAGGAGAAGAAAAACAGGTAATTAGAAGAAAGCCCAGAGCATTATAAAAACATTGTATCAACATTTTAAGTGTTGATTAAAAAACCCAGCTTTATAAGATTTGTGGAAGTTTAAGGTGTCACTGACAATGGTTAATCCAGTCCTACTCACCACAATCTCCTAACACGTAAATGTGTATAAAAAAATTTTCTTTGCTAAGGTTGTTTTTGCGTGACATGTTATGCATATGACTTTAAGGGTGCAACACGAGAAATGCAACACGATGAATAAAACAATTGGATAAAATGAAGTTAACACTGCTAGCTTAACGAAAAAATAAAAATAAATAAATAAAAAGCTGAAATGTCAGCCATTCATGCATCAATGAACCCAATAAGGTATTTCAACTGACCATTACTGAGGATCTCTTCTGGGCCTATGTAGTCTTTGAACAAACAGATTGAACTCCATTAAGTTCAGTAATTAACAAGAGCTATTGACTAAAAATACTTTAAATGTGTATTCTGGACTTCAGACTAAAGTGGCATGGGCATTAAAAATAGATGTAATGAGGCGAGCATAAATTTATAGGTACTGAATATTAATTTTCACACACGTTAATGTAACTTGTTATTTACTTTGGCTAGTCTACCCCAAACGTAAAGCAATTGGGCCTTCTTCAGCATTCCAGATGGTGATGCAAATATTGAAACAAAATCATTAGTGGAGATATATTAAAAGTTATGTAACCCAAGTGGTCATAATACTATCAAAATCTAGCAATCATTTAACCCTTCCTTTCATTTCACTACTCACATTTTCACTGAACCATTTATTATAATGAAGTAATAATCATAGGAAACATAATTTACAGCACTGGGTGTCCACTTATGCAAATACTGAAGAATCCTTAAATTAAGGACGTGAATAATGATTACACAACTGTGTAACTAGAAGTTTTGATAAATTCAAAAGCCATTCTAAGTAAAAACAACATTGACTACAGTATGAGTTTGGAGATTAATGTAAATGAAATCTGAACATAACCCCCTCTAAGCCCACATTCCAACATTTTATATTATTATAAATAGGTGATTGGCATGCCAAAACTAAAAGCTGCTTTGAAAGTACCATAGACTCATTAGGATTTTAAGGTAAATTTAGGTGGAAAGAAAGCACAACATTCTTTCTCCAAAGGTAACTTCAAACATCTACGTTGTCTAGGCGGTAAGATTCTGAGTGTAAAATTGACTTGAGGTTGGAAATGAGATTTTGTCTTACAGCAAAACCCATTCTTCAGCGGGTAAGCCATCCTTTAGCTCTCTGAGGAACCAGTAAATGCTATGGATTATCTCTCTATAAACATCTACAAATGTCTGTAAACAACTTTAGGAAGTTGATGGCCCATCTTGGAGGAACAGATTTGATGAGATCATTCAAATTGTGGAGAGAGCTGGGGACAGAATTTTATCATTTGACTTCCAGTATAATCGTGCTTGATTAATTGTCTTAATGCACGCTATTTGGTGATACAGTCTAAGAAAGAAAATATTATTAGATATAATGATGTCCTTTTTACATAATGGCTTCTAAAATTAGAAATCATATAAAAGTTAATTGAAAAGTGCCTTGAACTCTCAAAGAGAAAGGTAGCATAGCATATCAATCTGAGTTACATTTAAAAAAAAACGAGAATATTAAAAATGGATATAATGAAACAAAATTTCAGGTTTTTTACAGTTAGCAATGATTATTTTCTCTGGTATTCATGGTAACCATGATCTATGGTGATGTAACAATTTATATCATAATAAAAAACATCAATTAATCGGGTATCAATTACTTATATTTCTAGAGGTTACTAACATCAAAAAGTACTATTTCGATGGTTTAAAAATTTTATTTCTAATACATGATAACTTACTGATCTAATTCCAGGTAAATTCAAGAGGGATCCAAGGACTGGCACTCTTCTAATAAAGCCAATGACCACAGGAAAGAAGCCCCTAGGAAGAAGGAAAAAAGGTTCTCAGAACTTACAGATTCTTTATTACCAAAATCAATTGCTAACCAGGTAAAAAGAAAGGATCCACTTAAAATTTTCATTGTTTTAGAGACTTTAAATTTCAAATGTTACCTTTAGTGGTAATGTTTCTTACCTCTCCCCGGATATGATCTCTTTCTTAATTACACTCCTATTGTATTGTGCTTATACATCTATAACACATTACTACTATATCCTGCTGGTATCTTTCTTTATAGTCTATTTCCCATATCAGAAATGAGAGATTCTCTAAAGCAGATTTGACACTTAATTCAGTTTTATGTCTCCTGTGAATAACACAGTGTTTGGCAGATAGAAGATAAAGGATATACATTTCTTGAATAAATAATTAAACCAACCTTATTTAAAGGTATTTTCTCACATAGAATACTATTGTTTATTTACTTAGTAACTAACATTTGTAAAATATTGACTGATCAAAATCTACCATAGTGTATTCAGTACAAAATTTTCTAATGAGCGTATATACTAAAAGAATTGTCATCAAGTGGCAGTAACTATGCAGTATCAGGTTCTATGAATTAAAATGCTATATGTATGTATGTATCACTGTTTAGTTGCTAAAAATAACAGACAAATGCCTTAAATGTAAAGTGCCTTAAATAGAAAAGACGGTGCCTTAAAATCCCAATAAAACCTATTGCATTGAAAATACAAGATAATGGGGCGCCTGGGTGGCTCAGTTGGTTAAGCCACTGCCTTCGGCTCAGGTCATGATCCTGGAGTCCCAGGATCAAGTCCTGCATCGGGCTCCCTGCTCAGCGGGGAGCTACTTCCCCCTCTGACCCTACCCCCCTCATGCTCTCTCTCTATCTCATTCTCTCTCTCAAATAAATAAATAAAATAAAATAAAAAAATACAAGATAATGACCTTATTGGCAATCATTTACATTTAATAAACGTTTTTATAGTTGACTGAATTAAAGAGATTCAATAAAAGATTCAATGCAAACAAAAATACACGAGAAAATTATGGTCTTTATACTCATGCTGATGCAATATCTGGGTTTTTATAATAATTAATTATTTGACATACTGGTTTATTGAAAGAGAAAAAGTAAAATAAAATAATTGCCTTACCTGAACAAGAGAAAGAATCCATAAATTTCAAAGATCATGCCTATCAAAGGCCAACCAATAAGGACTACAAATACTCCACCCAGGAAAAATCCTGTAGCTTTCATTTTATGTTTTTGGAAGAAGAATCTGAATGTTCTTTCTAAACCAATGACAAAAGCCAAGCCAGCCACAAATAAAACCTAGAAGAGAAAGAAAATGTGAGATAGAAAAAGTAAACATACTGCACAGGTTTGAAAAGCAAGGTCAAAGCTAAATATAATAAAAAGCAGTACATCTCTCTCTTAGTGGGGGCAACTGGCTGGAGGAAACTACGATGCGCGCCAAGAGGCAAAATCAAGGAGTGGGCTAAGCATGAGAAAGTTGGAGTTGGATTCCACTCTTCTCAGTCCTCTTCTATCTCGATTAAATGGAGAAAAAGAGAACCAAAGATCAGATGTTACCAATGGGCATGCACATATGCAGTGGTTCTCCCAGGTAAGCAAGATGGAGAGAGCTTTAGTTAAACAGAGGAGGGGCCGGGCAAAAGAGGGAGGCTGCCCAAAAACATGTCACCCGGAAGTACTCTTGGTTCTGCACACTTCACCACAGGCTATAGGAGTGCCTGTGGGTGGGAGAAATACTGACATGGCCAAGCTGATAGAAGAAACCATGCAAAGCCAGGAAGAAGATTCTAGTCTTACTAATCCCAGAATTTCTGGTGGCAGCAGAAATAAAAATAAAGCCGTATGTTCTCAAATATACATATATTTTGTATGTTCCAGATAATGAGCCAGAAATGGTCATCGATTAAAAGCTTGCTTTCCCTCCAGGTTTTATTCCCAATACTTGCCTTTCTTCGTAACTATCTTTAAAGAAAAATTTTTCACACAAGTATTGATTGAGCCTAATGGTTAAGCTTCATATTCTCAGAGAGCAATGCTACTTATTTATTAATTAAAATACCAATTTTGAGGGCGCCTGGGTGGCTCAGTGGGTTGGGCATCTGCCTTTGGCTCAGGTCATGATCCCAGAGTCTTGGGATCAAGCCTTGTGTCAGGCTCCCTGCTCAGCCAGGAGTCTGCTTGGCCCCTCTCCCTCTGCCCCGCTCGTGCGTGCTCTCTCTCTCTCTCAAATAAATAAATAAATAAATAAATAAATAAATAAATAAATAAATAAAATCTTTAAAAAAAATACCAATTTTGAATAGTTTTGTTAACCTTTATATTTTCTAATTTCCAATTAAAAGCTCTATGGTAATACACATTTCAAAGATATTTAATATTATTCACTTTGTTGTATTCTTAAAAGGGTTATGATTTATTTCTAGAACTCTTGCACAATCTTCACACATGGACAACAAAGTACACATTCCAAATAAACACATATACCTTTCTCAGCAAGCTGACTGTTAATATACAGGTATGTTAAGAGGTTTAAATGGTTTTTAAAAATTTGTTTATTTTATGCTACTGAACCAAATGTTTCAAGTCATATGTTTTAAGTCAAACATATTAATAAATTTACCAAGACATGGGGCTACCAAGTCATCTATTTTGAACTCCTATCTAAAGGCAGCCTTAATTTAATCTATTATATATTACATATCAAACACTCAACAGAGTAGTCACTCAAAAACCTCTTTAAGTGTTTACCTTTTACTTAAACAGTTTTTTTTTTTTTTTTTAAGATTTTATTTCTATGACCGAAAGAAAGCGAGCACAAGCAGGAGGAGCAGCAAAGGGAGAGGGAGAAGCAGGCTTCCCACTGAGCAGGGAGCCCCCGATGATGCGGGCTCGATCCCAGGAACCTGAGATCGTGACCTGAGTGGAAGGCAGGTGCTTAATCAACTGAGCCACCCAGGCCTAAACAGGTTTTATTTCTGATGTAAACAGAGAAGATAATAGGAATCTTTACATGAGTAACAGTGAATTATTTCCCCCCAATTTAATAGCAGGCAATAATTCATTTGTAATTAAAGTTTCCTTATGAATTTAGTTAAAATATATGTTGAAAAACTCACATTTCCAATAGCCAGTAGTGCTTTGTCAAAAAAGAGAATCATTCCAAAGAACAGGAAAAACACTCCAAATCCTGTTAATCCCATTCCAATTTCTGCAATATAAGTTATATAGTTAAGGGTAGAGAAAAATAAAAGTTATGTTAAGATCCCGGTAAACTAAGTAAGGAAATTTTTCAGTTTTTCTTTTGGCTGATATAAGAAAATAGGTCCCCAACATTGCAGGTTAATTTTATGACATTCATTAAAATCTATAATAAATTAAACTAACATCAGCAAATAATTTCAAAATTTAAAATATAAATGGAAATCTCTAATCCTTATATGAGAGATAGCACTTCTCATAAACATATGCATGATAGAGAAAGATAATCAGGATTCTAAACCTTTGATTATATATTTTTTCCCTCCCAAGAATGCCTCTGGCATCAGACATAAATATATGGGTTTTCCTTTACTATTTATCTCCTTTCATATTCTAGGACTATTATTTATATGCACAACATCTAGAGTTACTTCTTTCCCCTCTTAAATTAATTCCTTCTTTAACCCAGTGGAAATGCTACCACAGGTCAGCACAATATACTTCACTTGATGATACACTGCTTCTCACAAGGGCAATATTTTGAGAATCACATTGTTGTCTCCTCAAAAGTTAATTTTCAAGAGGTTAGTCATCACTTTTAACTTCTTGATGATATGAATTTATCTTCTATAAATTATCTAAACCATGAATCCATTCACACACTTAGTGTCTAAGTCCTAATATCAGCTCTCCAAAAAGTTTCAAAGAACAGTTTTACTTAATATTTTAATATGCTGGGGTTTTACTCTTTTCATTCAAAAACAAAGAATAGTTGATCAACTCCTAGATGCCAGCATCTCTTCTAGATACCAAGTGCACGGTGGTGAATGAAGTGTAAGCACTGAAGTTTATGTTCATCTTTATATGAAACTCATAATTTTATTACCTTTACATTCTCTTGGTCTTATCTTTTTAGTTCAAGGATTCTTAACTTCTGTTAGTGCTAAAAGCATAAGCCACTAAGTCACCTCTTTGATTTTAGTTTTGCTTTCAGGAAATACTTACCAATCCTTATTTTACCCAGATACACACTATCTGCATGAAATAATGAAACAAGAGCAGAAACCACCATATTTTTGGAAACCCAATTCTAAATACACTATTAATGATTTCTGATCTGTTACTTAACTTTTTGGCCTCGGCTCCAGAAAGCCAAAATCTAGGTCACAGCTACTTAAAAAAAATTTTTAAGCCTTGTAAAATATTCTGATGAGTTGAAAACTTCTATCATATATTTTTCTACATCTCCCACCTCCTCAATTTACAGTTAACTATTGCCTTCCATTCCAACTACCTTTTTCCCCAAAGTTAGTCTAAAAGAATTCAGGTCCTGGTATATAAATATACATAAGTGTATTCCACAGACACAAAATCCTATGAAAATGCGAGGCCAATACTTTTATCCCTTAAGAGACTTGACCAAAATAACTGTTTAGCTGTCAGACAGAATTTCCTAGAGGAAAATATGGACAAAAGAACAAGCAAAATTCCACTGTATAACTATTTAGTAGTTAGGATTTAGTCACTGGCAGTTGAGTGATTTGAATATGACTAATTTCTACCTTTTCATAAATTATCCTAATGATTACATAAAAATTTTGAGGTTTTTTTTCAAGATTTTATTTATTAGAGAGAGAGAGACAGTGCGGGTGGGTGGAGAGGCAGAGGGAGAGGGAGAGGCAAAGAATCTCAAGCAGGCTCCACACTGACTGGGGACCGGGACAAAGGGCTCAATCTCATGACCCTGAGATCATGACCTGAGCTGAAATCAAGAGTTGGACTGGCCACCCAGGCGCCCCCAACAAACATTTTGAGATGTTTGTTCATCAGAAGGAAATTATATGGAAGTACACCTACTATGTCCTGAGACTTTGCCATGAATTATCCATTACGGGGTGCTTTACAGACCTTAATATAACTTAATCCTTCCCATACTACTGCAAGGTAGGTGTGATTACATCCTTTTAGAGATGGAGGAAATTGAGGTTTAGAGAAACGACTTTGTTTGCTTAGACTCACACTTCTGGTTAAGCATTTGAACTCAGTCCCTGTGCTTAACTATTACATCATACTGCTTCCTACAGGATTTTTTTTTTTTTTTTTCAGGTTAAATATGTTTGATTAAATGAAACTCAAGGGCACTGGAGCACACTGAACTTCTGGGGGAAGCATCATTAGGATCAAGTTTAATGGGTTAGCATCAAGATTAATGGGTTAGTTTCTTATCTAACAACTAAGTAGGTGTTAGTAGAAATATTAAAAATTGACTGCAGTGAAAAAAGACAGTATCTGGATGTGGTTTCACATTCACTGAAATGTTTATACAATTATGTTGTAATTCCTTTAACCAAACTGAGGTGAAAAGTAGCACCAGCCCCATATTTCACAGACTCAAGAGATTCGTAACTTACCCTTGCTCACAGAATCAGCAAATGTATGTATGTGCGTGCGGGGGTGGGGTGGGGCGCGCCACAGGCGGTTGGGCAAGAAGAGTGGTGGTTGTGGGGAGTCAGGCTAGAATTCAAACTCAGCTTTTGGACTCCGCAGCTTACAACTGTAACATGGGCACCAAAACATTTGGACTATTTCATCCAGTGTAATCCTAGGAGGAGACAGTTGCCTGTAACATATTTGCCAGAACCGGCACTGGCATGATGTTGCCAAGTACTTCCCCGCCTAAGTGGGCCAAAAGTCTCTCACTGGCCTCACTGTGTCCTTTCTCATCTCCCAAATTCCCATCTTCCCTGTGCCTACGCATTCATAAGCCCTCTGGTTAATAAAGCCCTACACAGAGCTGCCCACTCACCACCAAAATCATACCCAGTAAAATAAATTTATCTTTCTCTGGTGCAACTATCAAATCTGCATTCCTCTTGCCTACGTATGTGGGTTTTTGTTTTTTTTTTTCAAAGAACAATCTGATAAAAGCAATTTAATAAAATTTGTCTAAAATGAAAAGAAAACTTTTTGTGAAAATTTTACAAGAAAAGATGCTTAATCCAATAGCAATCACTGTTAGCATTTTGATATCTTAGTTGAAAATTTTAATATTAGCTTTCTCTCTCCCATTGTACCTTTTAAAAAATAGAAAATTTCATAATAAAGAACTCAACTGAATATCAACCAAGTTGAACAACTCAACTGAACATCATGGTAGGATTTCAGGCAATGTGACATAATGAAGTAAAGATCTAGAGGCAGCATGGGAACTACCCTACTCTGTTCCCCTCAATAAATCTTGTGTTTTTATGGAGGGGGTTGGGGAGAGTGCTAGTATAGAACCCCTTAAAACAATCATGAATTGCTTTTTATTCTGTTCAGTGCTTGGTCACCCTTTCCCAGAATCAGAATCCCAGAATAATCTTGGCAAATCACTTGAATGATGGCCAATTTCTGTAGTTACACACACAAACACTATTTGAAATCCAAAGAGCTTTTGGTTCACTGACCGTCTTGTGTTCCAATCCACTGTCCTACCTAAAACATTTGGCAAATGAGCAACGAAGAATATAATTTCATCTTCTTCATCAATTTAATGAAGGAGAATGCTCCCCATTCTGCCCATATTCCAACTCAATCCCCTTGTGCTGCATTTTGGAAGAACGTAAATCAGGCACTTGTCCCTATAAGAAGTCTTTAAGAGAAGAAAATCTCTATGCTAAGGATAAATAGTTCATATTTTTAATCTATGTAATAGTCAGACTTAGAAAGGAGAAGTAATAATCCTTCACAGTTAGAAAAGCTGTGTAGAGATTAAGTACTTTCTCTAATTAGTAGAATTAGAAATAAATCCTAGCAATTTAGGTATACAATTCTAATTTTCTTGAACAACCTAATTTTAAGTTTGGGATTCAATCAAGAGGAACAGAACACTATCACAAAGACAACAGACTCTGAATATCCTACACAATCTCTCTCAAAAAAAAATCAATGCATAATTCTATAGGATAAATTATCTACTGTTATATCTATTCTTGCAATGAAAGAACTACATCATTCTAAGACAGAGCTCAAATAAAATTTATATCCAGTTTTCTTAGATGCTAGTAGGGTACAGTGAACACAAAATTTTCTGAGCCAGCAGACCTGGGATCAAGCCTTCTTTCTGTCACTTTCTTTATGACCATACACTGAGTTTCTTTTGAGCCTCTTTTAATTTATAAAAGAGATATACTTCTCCCTGCCTTATAGGGCTCTTATAAAAATTCAATGTAATGATTTATATGAAGGTACTTGGTAAAATGAAAGAAGATGCCTTTATACAATTGCTAGTTTCTATTATAACAGTAAAAAAAAAAAGGACGTTATATGTCTTCTGATCAGAACAGGCCAATAGACCAAAATGGGTACGCTTCCTGGGCCAGTGCAGGTGGCTCCAAGGTGCAGACCCATCCAACCACAGGAAGGAGAAGAGCCTGATTGGGGTGGTAGTGTATACAGAAGACCTCAGAAGTTCTGTCAAGTTCAAGTCAGCCATGACTTCAATCCAAACCTTAAGACTCCACTTTAAAATAGGGCATTTAAAATGAAATTCTATTTTTAATAGACTGTTTAGTTCTTAAACTCTTGAAAATCAAAGTAAGTGAAGCGGAATAAGAAACGAAGATCATAGCGGATAAAGCAAAGTGAAGACAAAAAGACTATCATGACCATTAAAAGATAGGACCCACAGGGTTGGGCAGATATGTAAATACAAATATGATAAAGGTTGACAAAAGGGTAAAAAAAGTAGGAGCGTTATAATGAAAGAGAAAAGGAAATAGATAGCAATGCTAACCTTAGACATAAGCTAGGCCTGGAGAGCTCTGTGGTAGGCAGAAAGAGATGCTAAAATAATAAAACAAGCCACAAAGCACAATATAAAATATTAAGGAAAGAAATCGTTTAACTGAACACAAGGTGGCTTTTTACTCCTGCGGAAACATTAGGTGGTAGAAGAGTGAAGTCGTTTCAAGGGATCTTTGGAAGGTCGTTTCCAGAGGTGGCAAAAAGGCGAAATATTCAAAATATTTAAGTGTAAGCATATTTAAAAACAAAACAAAACAAAAACCCCAAAACCTGTAATAGATGACACTTAAAATACCGCCTCCCAAACCGGCCAGTAACTTGTAGGGGACCCCAAGTTTGTCATGTGCACAAACATCCCCAAGTGCGAACCACGGGCACCGCGCATCAAACTTTCTCTTGTGGCCACCTGCAGGAACAAAGCGCCCTTCTTACTGAGAGTGGGAGCGGCGAGACCCTGGTGCAAGACAGACACTCAGCAAAGACTTCCCCCTCCCCAGATCGGGCGTCTTCCCAGATCCCACTGACCCTGCTCCCAAGCCAGGTCTGCCCCTGCAAATCCAGCTCCCGCCCCCTCAAGGCAGAGGTTTCCCGCATCCTTAGCTCAGTCTCGCAGGCCGCCGCCCCCAACGCGGAGCTTCATTCATTGACCCTGACAGAGGGGCGGGCGAGCTGAGCTCGAGCAACAGTGTGCGAGGATCCAGGCGGGGATCCCGGGGCGAGTGCTTACTCTGGGTGTCTGTTAAGGAGATCATGGCTGCAGTAGTGAGGGCACCGGCGACAGAACCTCGGGGCGCCCAGGGCGTGAAGCAAAGTCGGGAGAAAAGAAGCCGGGAAACAGCCCAGGGGCGAGCCGCCACGTCTTCCGGAAACACGCAGCGGCCCCCACCCCAGCTTCAAGACCGCTTCCCATTGGCTAATCCAGCCCCCAATATCAACCAGTCACCCGTAGCCTTGTTCGGTGACGCATATCATGGCCACACCCCTTCACCAATTAGAGAAGGGTGTTACTTGCAATTGGTTGAGGAGACGTAACCGGAAGGGCGGATGGTTGCGGCTGGAGAAAAAGGAAAGACTGGTGGCGGGAAGTTTTCATTGGAGAGCGGCTGAAAACTGTAAGTAGTGGTCTCGATGGCCGGCGCTTTGAGGTCAGAGAACGAGGCGGCTGGGCTGGAGTTGGGTGAAGGGGTTCTTTAACCCCTTGGGGAGAGGTTCTGGGGTAAATCTGCTTTGAAAGGGCTAATTTTTTCTTTTCCTTCCTGAGTGTGCGGCCGGTCTATCGCGCATCACTTCCGTTCACCAATATATTGGCAGGAGAGAAACGGGCGTTAATCCTCGCCCATCTCTGATGGAACTTGGTCCTTTAGGGGCACGTCGGACTGCCTACCCCTCTCTTTTTATCTCCAGCCTTTTTCTATGCAGGAAGCTTGGTTACCAAAGTCTGTATATAGGCAGTCACCATCGGGGGACGCATAAACATAGTGGAGGGTATTATTACATCGCTATTGTTTTCTAAACGCAGGTGGTGGGGAGAGGGGGACGTGTATCTGATTTAGCCTGTGGTACCTCAGTGGCATTTACTCCAGTATCAATGACTGACTGTGACTTCATGAAATATTTACTGTGGGTGCTGTCAAAAGTTCAGAAATAGCAGAGGTAAAACCAATGAATCACTGAAGTAGTAGTTTAAAAGTAAAATTTATTGTGCACACACCAAAGAGACAACTGTGGCACCAGGAGCATTCAAGCCAAAACGGGAATGAGGCTTTTGGTGTTTTTACAAAGCGACTTATGTAGTAAGAAGTCCGTGATTATTTTTTCCTCACAGTGATTAGAATATTAATATTTTCTTAAGTGACAGGTAATTGGTTAGTGGTTACTTCATATCAACTTTGGGAAACAGTTTAAGTTTTGCCTGTGATTTCTGGAGACATAAAAAGGAAATTATCTGAGTCAAGTTAGTCTCACAAAATAAGCTCATTTGAGCTTTGTTTGACTAAACTGATTTTGTCTGCTCAGGGAATTTTCAAGACTGGTTTGCTTTTTATTTTAACAGTTACCCCCTTTTGGTTATTCTGATCAACCAGTGTAGTAGTATTTTCAGTTTCCTCTGTTGAGGTACTCAGGCTGAAGAATCATGTTTTTGCTGTTGCCATTAGTTGAGTCATTAGGCTCAGGCCCTGTAGTCATCTTCTTCATCATTTATGTTGTTGATTTCATCAGTTGTCTGATCCTCATGGGTACCATTTGGCCTGAGTGGCTGCTGACAGGTCTTTAAAACCCTTGAGAGTATGCAGCGCATTAGAGAGGTAAATATGATTTAAGGAGAACAATAGCCAAGGATTGAAAAATTCCCAGAGGAGATTCCCAGGTGCCAACATTTAACCAACTAAATAAATCAACTGGGTTTCAATTTTTTAAAAGGTATTTACAAAGGCATAACTTGATGTATTAACAATCACATCTTCATGATGACTTAGGCCTGGATGAAAGCGAGGATGTTTTATTTTAGGAGCAGGTAGCAGGTGAATTTCCACCTAAATTCGGCCTCTGTATGGTGTGAGAGGTATAGACAGATAATTTAATGAGAAATATTTCTGTGGAGACAAAAGAAAATATTCAAGAAAATTATAAATTCAGTGTCTTGAGTTTGGAGAGAAGCCATTTGAGAAAATTTCTAGATGTGTTCAAATTATCTTCAGATGGAATGAGGGCAAGAGTGACAATCTGACAGATTTTCCTGGTTTGCAGTTTGAATATCTCTGGTGATCTCTCTGAGCATAGGCACATTGTCCTCCTCACATGAGCTCTTTTGGTGGTTTCTCTGAAGCTTATATCCAGTTGTCCAGCTTTAGCTTGCATGGCTTTGGGAAAAGGGCCATTTTATTTTCATATTGATTCCAAGTCAGAAGAGTGGAAGGAAATTGGAAATGTTTGGAGAGTTCTGGAGAGTTTGGAGAGTTCTAGCCAAATGTTGGAGGAAACTAGAAGAATTCAGGATCCGGTCCAGTTTATAAAGAGAAAATGAAACCTTAAGGACAGTTAACAGCAGTAGAATCTGATATCCAGAAAGGTGTATTACTGAAACATAGTTTTTCTCTATAAACATCCCATTTCTATCAGGATAACTACTGTTAGACTCATTTGTTTGCAAATTGAATCTAGTTTCAATAAATTTGGCCTGATTATTTACATAAGTGCAGCAAAAATAGTGATCATATAAATTCTTTTAAATCTATGTTCCTGGAACTTTTCATAAAGTTTTCATAAACTTTTTCATAAACTTTCATAAAGAATCTTAAAAAGATTCATTCTTCTGCATGTGGCTGTCCAATTTTTCCAATACCATTTGTTGAAGAGACTGTCTTTTTTCCATTGGACATACTTTCCTGCTTTGTCGAAGATTAGTTGACCACAGAGTTGAGGGTCCATTTCTGGGCTCTCTGTTCTGTTCCATTGACCTATGTGTCTGTTTTTGTGCCAGTACCATGAGAGACCAAGAGAGACTATGGACTCTGAGAAACAAACTGAGGGTTTTATTTATTTTATTTTATTTTATTTTATTTTATTTTATTATTTTAACTGAGGGTTTTAGAGGGGAGGGGGATGGGAGGATGGGTTAGCCGGGTGATGGGTATTAAGGAGGGCACGTATGAATGGAGCACTGGGTGTTATACACAAACAAGGAATCATGGAACACTACATCAAAAACTAATGATGTAATGTATGGTAATTAACATAACGTAATAAAATAAAATTAAAAAAAGAATTTTAAAAAGAATCTTAGATTGACCTTTTCAAGGCTCTTTGGGCTAAGCAGCCGAGCTAAGAACTTGTCTAATTGTGTCCTATTACAAGGAGATCAGATCGAGGTTATATAAATACATATATTGTCATGAGAAATAATATTTAATAAGAGTTTCTAAATTCTGGTGGGGTCAAGTAGGGAGAAAAAGATAAATGTTTCACCTGTTGATTACAAAAGTAGGTTTTACTGAATTGTAAGCTATAGATAGCTTAGAAGAGAAAATGGAGCCTTTTAAATCTAGAAAACAAAACATTGAAGAACCATCAATGTTTGAAGTGAAGTCATAAAAAATTCTGGAATTATCATTTTACTTCCAGACAAAATTACTTTCCTTTTTTCCTTACCAAAACAACAACAAAACCCATATTCTTCATATCTTTCCTTGTCCAAAAAACATGTTCTATTTTCTTCAACTGCTTTTCGTATACATTGTTTTCTTTCATCCTTATTATTTTTAGTAGCTTTAATTACATATATTAGTTAGAATTCTTAACTCTTATAATCTTTAGTTCCTAGTAAAAACCAAGAAGTAAGCAATTGTGGACTGGCAAATTTATAAATACACAGTTACAAAAACTTTTTAGAGACATACTTTTTTTTATAGTTTTTTAATGTGGCAAAGGACATAGTTATTAATAGACCCAAGTATCTTTTATCTCTCTGTAAAAATTAAAAAGCCAAAAGTTGAGGTTGTTCTGATGAATCCTAGGCTACTAAAGCCTGAGTGACTCTTTAAAGGCTTTATAAGCAAGCCAGGGTAGGGTAAAAATGTTGGGAGGTGCCAGTAGAATATAGTGATTTCTGATAAGTGAAAGGATAATTGGCATAGCTTGAATTTATTCAGAGTTTTGCTAGAAGATGAAGAACTAGATTTAGGTTACCTTGTAGCAGATGATGCAAATGGAAGTAGAAATTAAACATAAATAAGAACCTTGCATAGTAATACAAGGGAGATGCTTAATAAAAACCATTCATTCTAATGATAGATCTGAGTTCTCAGGTAGATTTGAGTCACTGTAGTGGTACTGATAGATAACCATGACAGGAACCCATTCAGAGAGCAAACTTAAATGGGTTTAAATGGCATTTCCAAAACACCAATTTACCGAGGTCAATTTTAGTTGGCTCCCAGACGTGATAAAAAAGTATATTGAATCATATAGCAATAATTGTTTCCTTTTTAACTTTCTTTTAATCCTTATTAGCTTCAGGGAAAAATTATTAGTTGAGGTTGTATGTCTTTAGTAATTCTCTTATACCTGCTAATGATTCATTTTAACAAAAAGAGCAATCCCCAAGCTCCAGACCCCAGCAGGCAAAAATATCATTGGTTTATGTTTATTACAGTTATAGGTGTGGTTATGTTTTACTTCTAGCAAGTGACAGGTTTTTGGTTTTTTTTTTTTCCATTTTTGGTAGTAATGTATAGTTTTATTTCAGTATAAGTTTAAAATTAGTTTCCTTAAGTAAAATATTAGTAATACTCCAATACTGTACAGAAAAAAAAAGCCCAAAGTAGGTAAACTTATGTTTAGTATTTAATGATTGAGTATATTATCTCATTTGGAAGTGAGTTAGGTATTCAAGAATATTCATTATTTAGTTTAACTTGGTACAAACTTTTCTGTTATTTAAATTTATTTAAATTATTTGTTTTTTAACAATTATGCTTGGATTAGACATTAAACAGCTAACCATCATCCTAAATTATTTTTCTTGTTGACAGATTTTGAAGACATGCTTGCTTTTATTAAGCCAACAAACTTAAACTAGGTTTTACTTTTCAAAGGTTATGTCAGGTCTTGTGAATTTGAAAAACATTTGGGTTAGTTTTTATGTTTCTGAGGGTTTCAAGAATACTTACTTTATAAGTGCTTATTTTTCTTTCAGCCAATTAAATAGAGCTCATTACACATTAGTTTTGGCAGTACCATATGGAATTAGAAAAATATCACACCTCTGTAATGTGCATACATAGATATACATAAATATACAGATAGATGCAAACAGATCTTATAGCTTTTGTTTAAAAAAATTTAGTTTTGAGCTGATAGCCATAATAATGCAAAACTCACTAGTTTATAAAAGAACAGTTGGATCCAAATTGTGTTCTGGCAAATGGACTAAGTTGAGGTTACTGCTTGTATAGCAAAGTGGTTTTTCCAGTAAAGTTTTGTTTGTTTGCATGATGTAAGGATCTTTTGTTTTATTTTTTATTTTTTTGTTTTTTTAAAGATTTTATTTATTTGATAGAGAGAGAGTGCACGAACAGGGGGAGCAGCAGAGGGAGAGGCAGGCTCTCTGCTGAGCAGGGAGCCTGATGTGGGGCTCCATGCCAGGACCCTGGGATCATGACCCGAGCCGAGGGCAGATGCTTAACCGACTGAGCCACCCGGGCGCTCCTGTAAGGATCTTTTAAAGCTCTTTTTGCAGTCATTTTGTCTTTTAGAAGTTTCTCCTTATCAATCAAAGAATGCATTCCATTGTCACTGAGAGGTTTGAAATCCTCTCGTGTCAAAGGCACAGCTCAAGATCCACTTCTCTAAGTTGAAGTTGCCCTATGGTGGCCACTACAATTCCACAAGTTCACCCATTTTCCAAACAGGCACAAAATCCTGGTCCATAGACCAGGTGGAACCCTATGGGGGACCCTGTTGTCCAAAAAGTGTTCTAAAACACAGGGAACCAACCATGTGTTTCCCTGCCCTCCTCCCTTTGGAACAGAATAGGATGATTCATCAAGAAGCTTCAACAAATAAAATGTAGTATGCAAATTAAAGTCAGTTCAAGATGTAGAGAACAGAGCTCAAATATAGGAGAGACTTACCTTCAGGTACTAGGGTCATTGAGAAAGCAACAAACTCAGTGGACTCTATGGGTTCCATCACCATAGGGGCCTCAGAGTTGAGGGGGATGATGGGAGGGGGTATCTTCTTTGGATCCCATTTTTACACTATAAATTGTCAAAAGTTTAGAAATAACAGAAGTAAAACTAAAACCAATGAATCATTGAAGTAGTATTGTGCACACACCAAAAAGATAGTTTGCGAACCAGGAGCATTCAGACCAAAACATGGAAGGAAGCTCAGAGTTATGTTGTTGTAAAGCAGCTTATATAGTGAGAAGTTCCTGCCCTCAAGCCCCCTCTCCTTCCACTTGCTCATGTGTGCTCTTAAATTTTAGTCATTGAGAGTTATTTAGAGTTCCTTAATTACATATCATGTGTTTCCCCCACTTCTGACCTTTTCATGTTCTCTCCTGAAATCTAATCCTTCTATAGAATACCAGTTCCTCTTTTAAGATTGAACCTACATTGTAACTCTTTAAGCAAGTATTCAATAAAATGTTGAATGATTAATTTGAGTTTTTATGTGGATGGATTTTCCTAATGTGGGGCATTTGAATCTCTTATTTATAAGATAGGTTTTATCATCCCAATTTTAGAGATAAGGGAAGAGGCTAAGAGGAACGGGTTTCTAATTTTGCTATGATCATACAATAATTTACTGCTAACACTCTTTAGCCTCAAAGCTTTGCTCTTTTTTGCTAATCACTTTGTATGTGGTATATAAGTGTTACTGATGTTATACTTGTTTATGTGATTTTTGGACACTTCTCTGAAATCTAGAGAATTCTCCATAAAGATCAGTGTGGGAATAATCACATAGTCCTTATTTTAAAAGTCACTACAATAGGGGCGCCTGGGTAGCTCGTCCATTGAGCATCTGACTCGATCTCAGCTCAAGTCTTGATCTCAGGGTCGTGAGCTCATGCCCATTTTGGGCTCCACACTGGGTGTGGAGCCTACATTAAAAAAATAATAAAAGTATAAAAGTCAGTACAATATATAATTTACTTTGTAACATTTTTCATGCTTAGTAGTGAAAAAGTGTTGTTGGTTAGGCATTATCAATATAGTATGTTTTAAAAAATATTTCTGTGATTTTTCTTTCATTTTTAGAAAGCCGTTTGGATTTCCAATTTTAGAATGGCATCCGTTTCAGGTTAGTGAAAATGATTACATTTTATAGCACATTCTATTTTGTTTCTAATTGCATGGTCTTTGAAAAAAAATTGTTTTTCTCTGTACTTTCCTCTCAATTTTGCTGTGAACCTTAAACTGCTCTAACAGGAAAGTTTTAATAAAAATAAAGAAACATAAATTATAAAAATATTTGTTTTAAAAATTCTGATTATTGAAATGTTTTGTGAGTTGTTTTTTTATTGTAAAACATACATACCAAAATTTACCATTTTCACTAATTTAAGTATACAATTCAATGGCAACAATTCACATTATTATATAACCATCACCAGTATCCATCTCCAGAACTTTTTCATCATTCCAAACTGAAATTCCGTGCCCATTATATAATAATGCACCCTTACTTCCTTTCCACCAATTGCTGATAACACTATTCATATTCTGTTTGTATGAATTTGATTACCTCATGTAAGTGGACTCATACAGTATTTGTCCTTTAGTGTCAGGCTTATTTCCCTTAGCATAATGTCTTTGAGCTTCATCCATTTGTAACATTTTTCTTTTTAAGGTTGAGTAATATTACAATGTATATATATATCACCTTTCATTTATCAGTTTGTCAGTGGACATCTGGGTTGTTTCATCTTTGGCAATTGTGAATAATGCTGCTATGAACATTGGAGTCCAAATGCGTTTGATTCTGTTTTCAGTTCTTTGGGTATATACCTAGAAGTAGAATTGCTGAATCACATGGTATTTCTGTGTTTAATTTTCAGGAACTGCCATATTATTTTCCATACTCACTGTTCCATTGTACATTCCCACCAGCAATGCAAAAGGGTTCTAAGAATTATAGGAACCTAAGAAATCACAAAGTAGAAAATATAAATCACTCCAAATCCCTCTACTCAAATTAATACTGTAATATATAGATGTATTATTTTTCAACAAATATTTTTAGTTTGCAAAGAGTTTTATTATTTTTTTAATGAAGTACAATTAATATATGTTATATTAGTTTCAGGAGTACAACGTATTCCCCACTTCTGTCCATTAATCAGGGCTTAGCATGGTAAGTGTAGTCACTATCTGTCACCATACAACATCGTTATAATATTATTGACTATATTTCAAAGCTGTATTTTTCATCTCTGTGACTTATTTATTTTATAGCTGGAAGTTTGTATCTCTTAATCCCCTTCATCTATTTCACCATTCTCTCTACCTACCTCCCATCTGGCAACTACTAGTTTATTCTCTGTATTTAAGAGTTTTTTGTATGTTTGCAGATTTTTATTTATTTGGGAGAGAGAGAGAGTGCACAAGCTGGGGGGAGGGGCAGAGGGAAATGGAGAAGCAGATTCCCCACTGAACAGGGAGCTCAGTGTGGGGCTTGATCCCAAGACCCGGAGATCATGACCTGAGCCGAAGGCAGAGGCTTAACCAGCTGAGCCACTCAGGTGCCCCTGTTTGTTTTTATTATTCCACATGTAAGTTAAATCATACGGTATTTGTCTTTCTCTGATTTATTTTATTTAGCCTCGTACCTCTTAGGTACGGCTTGTTTCCATCCTGTTTCAAATAGCAAGATCTCATTCTTTTTTATGGCTGAGTAATATTCCATTGCATATATATACCACTCTTCTTTATCCATTTGTCAACCGATGGACAGTGGATTGCTCCCATATCTTGGCTGTTTTAACTAACACTGCAATGAATATATTTTGTATCTTTTTGAATTAGTATTTTCATTTTCTTTGGGTAAATACCCAGACATAGAATTGCTAGATTATATGGTATTTCTATTTTTAATTTTTTGAGGAACCTCCATACTATTTTTCACAGTAACTATACCAATTTACATTCCCACTGCAGAGTGCGAAGTATCTTTTTTCTTCACATCCTTGTCAACACTTGTTATTTCTTTGTTTTTGATACTGTTATGTCATTTGAACTGGTGTGAGGTGATATCCCATTGTGGTTTTGATTTGCATTTCCCTGATGATTAGTGATGTTGAACATCTTTTCATGTGTCTTTTTGCCATCTTCATCTTTAGAAAAATGTGTTTTCAGGTATTTTGTCTGTTTTTTATTGGATTGTTTGGGTTTTTGGGGTGTTGAGTTGTGTAAATTCTTTATTTTGGATGTTAATCCTTTATCAGTTATATCATTCACACATATCTTCTATCATTTACTTGGTTGCCATTTTGGTTTATTGATGGTTTCCTTTTCTGTGCAAAAGCAGTTGATTTTGATGTAGTCCCAATAGTTAATATTTGCATTTGTTTTCCTTGCATGAGAAGACCTATCCTTAGATAATGTTGCTAAGGGCAGTGTCTAAGAGATTACTGTCTCTGTTTTCTTTTGGGAGTTGTATGGTATCAGGTCTCACATTTAGGTCTTTAATCCATTTGAGTTTGTGTATTGTGTTAGAAAGTGGTCCGGTTTTCATTCATTTGCATGTAGCCACCCAGTGTTTTGAACACCATTTATTGAAGGGGCTATCTTTTCCCCATTGTATATTCTTGCCTCCATTGTCATAGATTGATCAACCAAGTAAGTGTGGGTTTATTTCTGGGGTCTCTTGTCTGTTCTATCAATCTGTGTCTGTTTTTGTGACGATAGCATACTGTTTTGATTACTACAGTTGTATATCTTGAAATGTGGGATTGTCCAGCTTTGTCCTTGTGGTTCCATAATTTTAGAATTATTTGTTTTGGTTCTGTGAAAAATACTGTTGGAATTTTGGTAGAAATTGCATTTGTAGGTTGCTTTGGATATTATGAACATTTGAATAATATTAATTCTTCCAATCTTGGAGCAGAAAATATCTTTCCATTTATTTGTGCTTTCTTCAATTTCTTTTAGCAGTGTTTTCTAGTTTTCAGTATATAGGTCTTTCACCTTTATGGTTAAATTTATTCCTGGGTATTTTATTCTTTTTGGTTCAGTTTTGAATGGGATTGTTTTCTTAATTTCTTTTTCTGCTACATTATTATTAGTGTATAGAAGTGCAACAGATTTCTGTATATTGATTTTGTATCCTGCAACTTGCCTGAGTTCACTTGTCACTTCTCATAGTGTTTTGGTTGAGTTTTTAGGGTTTTCTAGTTAGTATCATGTCACCTGCAAATAGTGACAGTTTTACTTATTCTGTACCAATTTGAATGCCATTTATCCTGTTTTTTTTTTTTTTTTTTTTTTTAATTGCTTTGTCAAGGAGAGACAGTGCGATGTTGAATGAAAATGGTGAGAGTGGACATCCTTGCCTTTTCTTTTTTTAAAGATTTTATTTATTTGAGACAGAGAGTGTGAGAGCGAGGGGAGGGGTAGAGGGAGAGGGACAAGCAGACTCCCTGCTGAGCAGGGAGCCTGATGTGGGACTGGATCCCAGGACCCCGAGATCATGACCTGAGGTGAAGGCAGGCACTTAACCCACTGAGCCACTCAGGCACCCTGCCTTTTCTAACATTAGAGGAAAAGCTCTCAGTTTTTCATCATTTAAGTATAATGTTAGTTGTGGCTTTATCTTATATGGCCTTTATTATGTTGATGTATATTCCCTATAAATCCACTTTGTTGAGAGTTTTTATTATGAATGGATGTTGAATTTTGTCAAATGCTTTTTCTGCATCTGTTGAGATAATATGATTTTTATCCTTCATTTTGTTAATGTGGTATATATCACGTTTGTTGATTTGTGAATATTGAACCATTCTTGAATCCCTGGAATAAGTCCCACTTGATTATGGTAAAAGACCTTTTAATGTATTGTTGAATGTGCTTTACTAATGCTTTATTCAGGACTTTTGCATCTATGTTTATCAGGGATAGTGGTCTGTAGTTTTCTTCTTTTTTGTACTGTCTTGTGTGGCTTTGGTATGAGGATAATGCCAACCCTGTAGAATGTATTTGGAAGCTTTACTTTCTCGTTTATTTTTTGGAATAGTTTGAGGAGAATAGGTATTAACTCTTCTTTAAATGCTTGGTAGAAAAAAAATAAATGCTTGGTAGAATTCACTTGTGAATTCATCTGGTCTTGGACTCTCCTTTGTTGGTAGTGTTTTGATTACTGATTTAAATGTGTTACCTATAATTGGTCTATTTCTTTCTGATCAGTTTGGAAGGTTGTGTCAAGGAATTTATCCATTTCTTCTAGTTTGTACTATATTTTTAGCATATAATTTTTCATAATAGCCTCTTTTGTATTTCTGTGATGTCAGTTGTTACTTATTGCATTTTAATTTTATTTGGTTCTCTCTTCATCCCCTTCTCTCCCTCTTTTTTTTTTTTTTTTTGATGAGTCTGGCTAAAGGTTTATTAACTCTTTTCATCTTTTCAGAGAACCAGCTCATTGAAACCACTAGTTTTATGGATTTTTTTTTCCTTTTTTGGGGGAAGGCCATCTCTATTTCATTTATTGCTCTTATGGTTTTTATTATTTCTTTTTACTAACTTTGGACTTTGTTCTCCTTTTTCTAGTTCCTTTAGATTAAGGTTAGATTGAGATTTATCTTGGTTTTTGAGGCAGGCCTCTAGCGCTATAAATTTCCCTCTTAGAACTGCTTTTGTTGTGTACCAAAGATTTTGGACCATTGTGTTTTTATTTTTATTGTCTCAGTGTAGTTTTTGGTTTCCTCTTTTGTTTCCTTGTTGAACTGTTAGTTGTTTAGTAGCATGTTGTTAAGGCTCCATGTGTTTGTCCGTTTTTTCCCTACTCCCCACCCTCTTTTTTCTTGTAATTGATCTCTGGGTTCATGCTGTTAATAGTCGGAAAAGATGCATGATAAGATTTTAATCTTCTTAAATTTATTGTAGCTTTTTTGTGGCCTAATGTGTTGATTTATCCTGAAAAGTGCTCCATGTGCACTTGAAAAGAATGTGTATTCTGCTGTTTTGGGATGGAATGTTCTATATGTATGCTAGCTCCATCGTTCTAATGTGTAATTCAAAGATACTATACCCTTATTGACTTTTTTTGTCTTGATGATCTATCTGTTGATGTCAGTGGGGTGTTAC